TCAATGGCATTCACCATACAGGGTCCTGCAATCTTCCTGCAGCTCCCCTGTTTTAAAAGCAGGGGTCTACAAAACAAATCCAGATAGCTCTGGGAAGGGTTTGCTTAGTCCACACTGTGAAAGGGTATCTAAAAGGATCTAAATTCAAATCCTGTGGCTCCTGCTCAGTTTTAATATTTATTATTAAGAATAAAAAATGGTGCTTCAACTCCACCTCAAAGTTTCAAAGCACTTTATTAACATTGATACCTGAACACATCATCTTTCTCTGGTGCTCATCTGGTGATGCATAAAAAAAATTGCAATCAGACTGGAAAATAGATTATCATTTTAATACAACAAAAAAACCAAGAAGAATGAGCAAGCAAAAGAGATTGGGGAAACTGAATTGCTGCAAAATGAAGTATGGGCAAAGTTCTTACCAGCTTTCTGCCCAATGGCCAGTGCTGTGGCATAAAACAGCAGATTTGCCCCTTGCAATATTTACTCCACAGACCTTGGAGATGATCAATTCTAGATTTTTGCACTGGGGAGTGAAGATCTGGGCCTATCCAAAGGGTGTGCCAGAACTGCCTGCTGTCCTCTAGAACAGCAGAGCACAAGACCAAATGGAGGGTCTACAACTGTTTATTGCTGGTGAATTCAATAACCAATTCAATAATTTATATTCAACTATCAAGGAATATGCAAGTGGAAGCAAATATTATGGTCATGTTCATTTGTTTTCTGATTACAAAATGTATGTAAATGCATATGCAAATTAAGTGCAAGCATCAGGCTCATGGCAAAGTGCCAAACTATTCTTTAGTGTTGTGAAGACTGGGGTGGCTGGCAGGGAGATACAGCAACTGCAAGTGAGGCTGGGCAGTGCCTTCAGATACAGCCAAGGCTGGGCTGCTCTGAAGGGGTAGGAAGAGGATAAATCCTGCATTAACTTGTCACTTTAAACGAAGCTGAGGGGCTATAGAAAAATCTGTTCCCGATGCAGTTAGAAGTGTGATAATTACAGAGCAATGGGCTCCTCTGTCATTCAGCAGGCAGCATCCCCAGGAAATCTTGCTCTGTAATCAAGGGAAGAGCCGCAATCAAGCCCGTATTCAGCCTTCGTTTAGAAACAGCCCCTGCAGGCAACACAAAGGCTTCAGCATGGTTCTTTGTGAAGTTGGTGATCAACGTCTTGGTTCTCCATCTACAAGCAAAGTTAATGCATTTCTAAGCACATCTTCTGTTCACCTTTCCTCAGAAAGTCCAGAAGGAGTCTTGGAAGAAGGGTGAGGATTTAGGCCAAAATACACTTGTACATATAGTGTTGCCTTCACACTGTCCACATTTGTGAGCTCACTCTCTACACAGCAGTGTCAGAGAAAGAGAAAATTTCTTGCAGACTAACAGCGTGGTCCTGAATGAGCAGGCACGAACAACCTCTTCTGGCTTCTACAGCAGCTCAGCTTGCAAAATTTGCACGGGGAAGGGTTTTCTTGGGTTTTTTCCCCAGAAATATGAATGTATCTATGATGATGAAATCCTGCAGGAACGTCAACCCTCTTGGCAGCAGCCTGATTCCACAGAGACTGATGAGGTTTGTTAGAGGGGAAGATGCCTCTGAGTTCAGCTTTCATGTCTAATGCCACCATTGCCCAGAAACATACAAACTAATAGCTACTCAAATCAGCCATCCTTTGTACCCTAGGGAGCTGTCAGATTCAGGGGACCAGTTTACTCCAACTGCAATAGAAGTAGTCTCACTTTTTATTCAAAACAGCCAAACTTTCCAAAGTGCACATATTTCCACTTCCACTGTATATACTCAGACACAGAAACTGTACCTGCTCAGCTACCATCTGGGCACATGACTGCCATGATGTACACAATCCTACAAACTCTGGGTGCACATGAAGTGCCAACATTTTTTTTGCACATTGAGGACACATTCTGGACAGGACTCACAGTTTCATCTCAGTATGAATTGGTTGTTCACTGTTGACATCCATCATAACTGGAACTGCACTTGGAGTTACAGCAGCCTGTATTACTGTAAATGGAGCTTCATTCCATCACAGTACAGAAACAGCAGGTTCCACTCGCTATTTACTTCTTCTATCTCTGGCCACAAAATAAATGAGTTTGCTATGGTTTTACCATCTGCAGACATAGGTATCAGTCAATAGCCAAGTAATGGCCTGGACACTGTCAAGAGAACTCATTATTAAAAATGTACACATTACATTTAGCTATTCAAACAGAACTTGTTATTGATTGGATCCATCAATTCCCAGTAAAAGACCCAACTCTGATGAGGAAATGAAAATATGTACATAGACTACAGATTAGTAAATACTGTAATGGAGTGAAGGTTCCCCCCTGCCCCCCCCCCCCAAAAAAAAAAGGGAGTTGGTATCCAGTGGAGAGACCAATCTTTTTCACAAGTGAGACTGGGAATAAAATAACCATGTTACTTCTGCATATATCCAGAGGCATGATAAAGATACAAAACAAAAGGGAACAGTTCTGACAACAAACATCTCAGTCTCTTGGGGGAAAAAAAGCAAACAAAGAAAATACAAGTTGTTTAATGGCCAATCAAGCCACAAGCAGGAAGAGCCTGTAGCCAGTTCTGCCATTCCTGCCACATCCTACTGTTTATCAGTGGAGATTCTGCCACACTCGCAGAATTGAAAGACAACATCTTGTGCTTTTCAAAGTCAGACAAAAAGGTAGCTATACTTAATTTGGTTCCCGTTTTTTTCTTGCCACTTTTCTTTGTCTGCTTGTTTCTACTTACTAAACAGCCCTTTCTTTCGGTTTTCCCATTCATCTGCACAGACACTGTAACATTTTTTCAATGGCAGTATTTAACACACAGAAATCACCACTGCTGCAGCATAAAGGAGGCAGAAAACAAGGCTGATTATAAAATTTTAACATAAATCAAATATACACCATTTAGTAATATATGTGAAAACAGGAAGAACCAAATAAGGTAATGACTGTGGAAATCTCTACATTTGATCCACTGGAAAAGTTCTCCACACAGCATCTTCTCTGAGAGTAAAAAGACCTCAGCTAACAGTGAGTTAAAATTGTTTGCTTAAGAAGGCACATTGTGACAAACTTCTTTGCTCACCCTTAACAGCAGGTTGGGCTGGAAACTGATGAATCACTATAGGAAACAAACAGCAATGGTGACTCACAGCTTCAAACAGTAACAATAGCACTGCTTTATCCATGGTGTCTACAACAAAAATATCCCTGGATTCATTAGAAGATGTATTTCAGATTCTTCCACCCACCCAGGAAATGCAGAAAGTCCACCCCTGAGCCCTGGTTAGAGTTCTCACAATTGTCCCACAGGTACACGGAATTCCTGCTCACAGTACTTTCTCTAGTGGTTCACTGAAAATCATATGCTGTTGATGTCTTGAGCAGCTCCCCAGGGAGCATGGATCCATTAGCCCAGCAGCAGACAGAGCCTTTTATTGTTGTGTTTCAGGGTGCAAATGCCTGTGTGGCTCTTGCAACTTTCTATCACCATAGCATTTAGACCTGAGGTGTGTTTGCTTCATAAGCATATGAAGATCAGGCTAGTTGCCCAGCTCCTGAACTGCCTGGTCACACCCAGAAGTCTGTCCAGCCCCACGTAACTCACGGCTCAACAGTTCTGGCTCATTAATACTTTGGACTAATCAGGCCAGAGCAAATAGCTGGAAGAATTCTGTGTTCAACACTTCACAGGCTCACACCTCCTGTCTAAGGTTTATGTACTGTTACCGTATTATTTATATATAAAGCCAAATTTTCTCTTATTATTAAAATCACCTTAAAATGAATGCACATATGGATGCTATGTTTATTTCCAAACCTTCCCTTCCCATAAAAACATATTTTCCTTCTCCATCTAAATGCAGACTGTAAGTGTGGAGCTGTAGGTTTTTTTACTTAGATAGCAACACTATAAGGACTGTTTTCACCACATCTCGCCTTGTACAGGTTAAACTCTGGTTAATCTAGTTTCATTGCCAAAAGAAGTGAATAAATGGTAGTCGTGAAAATATATTATTACAAATATTTCCATTTTGACAAACTTTCAGGTTGTTTTTTTTTCCCTTGAGATTGGACACTACTTGTCCAGGTTTCATCTTTAGTTCAAGCTCAAGCTGTGGTGTTTAAAGTCAAATGTCATAAATAATGTGTGATGAGATTCTCAAATTCACACAGGGATTTTCAGTTGACTTAAGTCTCCTGCACATACAAAATTAATTACCATCACATTGCTAAAGACCAAAGGAAAAATCTGAAATACACTTCATCATGTGGTTTGCATGACTTAAAACTCTCAAACTCAAATTCAAAAATAGAGTACCAAACAATGAGGAAACATTCAAATCCCTCTTCCTTCTGCAACACTATGATCAACTTTAAAAGCAATTTAAGCAATTTAATCAAGGATGCTAAAAAAAAATCAAGGTGCCATTCAGTGATTAGTATGCAAGTAATTGAAGGGAAGTATAGGGCTTCCACAGGCTAGCAACAGCTAACAACAAAAAAGTATACAATGTCCTGTCAATTATGTTAGTGATATGTATAAATATATATATATATGGCTCCTGTTTGCTGACACTTCACTCAGTTTTCAGGGGCTACTGCAAAAAGCCAGCCATTTATTTTACCAACACTAACCGAAGGTACTTCTTAGTTGTATTTACCAGTTTATGTTCCCTACCCTTATTAATAAGTTGCTGATTAAATGAATGACGACAATGATGATGAAAATCTCTCCATGCTACAAATGCAGCATCCTTTCAGAAAGACACTTGTTGCAGTTGCCCACACTCTCTATCTACTAGAATTTAATTACTTCTATTTGGAAAAAGAATGGTGGAAGCTGAATTCCTTTGACAACCATCAGCAGGAATAAGAACTCTGTCATAGGCCTGCTAAACAACACATTAACTTTTTGGACTGTGTAAAGGTCAATGAGAAGCAGGGAAGTATTGTCTTACCTTCAGAACACAGCTTGCCAGCATATCCAGTGGCTGAGCAGTCACAGTGTGGCTCACCATCCAGAAGGAAGCATGTGCCACCATTTTCACAGGGGTTTTCTGAGCAAAGTCCTTCCATTTCCAGCCGGACCCCTTGACTGCCCAGGAGCTGTGGCTCAGAATTGCCGTATTTAAGATCCAGGATAAATCCTTGAAATGGAGGCTCACTCAGGACACCATCAAGAGTCAAGGCAGCAGGACGAATGTCCAGTGGGACTCCACCAATAAAAAGGTCACTGACGATGTTCATATACTGGCGTTGTGGACGCACCTCACCCGGCTTGGCTTCGCCATCCAGCACTAGCACCGTCCGAAGGTGATTGCGGCTGACCATCAGGAAGTGCCAGCTGCTGTCGTTTACCTGCTTGTCTGTGACAACTGTGGTCTCCGCACAGTCCACACTGAACTGCAGCTGGATGCGCCCATCAACCAGGGACACACAGAGGAAGTCACAGACACCACCATCATCAAAATAGAGAAGCAGCCCAGCAGAGACATTGGTCTTGAACTGGAAGCTGAGTTCGCTCCTAGTGCTGGCATCCCAGCGGAGGTAGCGGGCCCACTGGTTGGGGATGCCCATGAACTCCAGACCCAAACAGAGACCCAGCAAGGAGCCCAGCAGCAAACTCACCTTCAAGGTGAAGTAGATAGAATGCAGAGTGAAGCCCATTGTTTCAAGAATCTGCTCTTCCCTAGGAGAAAAAAAGAAGCCACACTACTGGGAGGAGAACCCCAGCAGTCAACACCAAATTTTAAATCCAAAAGGAAGAGAAGAAGAGCAGACAGAGAACAGGAGAGTAAGTGGAAAGTGACCAAGAAGAAGTGTCTCCTCCCAAGGAAATATCTCAATTATCCTTAGGAACCAGAGGCTTTTATCTCAGAAGTACAGGGTACATGAAGTGACTTCTCCAATGGTGCACTTCTCTGAAGGGCAAAATAACCTACAGTGATTTGTTTTGGTAGAACACAAAGGTGACACTGGTGTTCCAGGAGGAAGGAAAGGGAGAGCCAAAGCCCAAGCCTAAAATTCTTGTTTTCTAGAAGTGATGACAATATTGACGGAGATGGCAGTGAGATAGAAGAGAGAGTGAATTCATAAAGCATGTGAACTTCAAGAGGGCAAAAATAAAGTCAATCTTCATGATGCACTGGTGGATACCCAGCCCATAATTCACTGTTTGGCACTCACGAAGCTTGCAGGACCTGTGGGGTCAAGACAAAAAAAGAAAGGGAAAAGTTAATCTTACTACTCACCATATCTTTACTATGAAGCTTACTAACATCTTGTCCAATAACTTACTTACATTTCTTGATACTCTGGACATTTCTCTATGCTTGCAATTGTCTGTACAGGTCTCAAAAGCAGCAAGGACTCAAAATAAGAGGCCAAAATAGAGAACTCACCAAGTCGTCTGCACACATAACAACAATGAGCAATATAAATATAAATATAAAAATACACCAAATTATTTAACTCCTTTGATGGATGCAATCTCATTGACTTTACTGGGAAATGGTGCTGGAGCTTTCCCAGTAAAAATTACCTCTCCAAGAAAATGCTTAGGGCAAAACCAGAGTTCCTTAGCACACCAAGGAAGCATTAAAGAATACAGGGCTCCTGTCAGCCTGTCACACAATAGCTGTGGGCCAAATTCACCCCTAATTAAGAGCAAATAATTACAACTGCCTTCAATGAGTTACATCTGTTAACACTAGGATTTAACTCACTTCTGCATACTCACATGTGGGTGACTGTATGTCTGGTGTAGGAGGATGTTTTAAGTGATAAGTAAAGGCAGCACAAAGCTAGGCTTATTCTTTGAAAATTCTACCCAAGAAGAAAGTAAGTCTTCTATTAACGCAGGTATTTGTTCACAAAGATGGGTTGGACACAAGAACAGCTCTGGAAATGGCTAACATTAGCATTGCTACAAAGCAGGAAAGGAGATGATGAGAATCAAAGCCTTCGTTTCACAGGAGTCCGCATGAACACAGTTTCCACAAACTGGAACACAAATATTGTGTATGCTTGGGAAAAGTGTTTTGTGCTGTGGACTGTTGCAGATGATAGATCCTCAGTGGACCATGAGAGCTGCTCACAGCAGATGCCTTGCAACCCCATGGTCCATCTTGCTTTGAAGGAGAAGGCACACAGACACTGCACAAGTGGGCAGTGCTGGAAAGTTTCTGTTTGGTAGGGACAGAGGTTGAGCTGCAGGAGAATCACTAGGAAATGGAGGAGAGAGTTCACACAGTCACACCCTCACCTGCCTCAGGCACCTGCAGAAGCTGTAAATCTCCAAAACTGTCAGTCTGACAAATTTAGCCAGCACGAAAAACAAGTCACTTAGAAAACAAAAGTGATCAATTAAAAGAAAACCCACAAGTTGGAGAGAAACGTGAGCTTTCAGTGCCCAGTGGAAACCAGGCCTGTTCCCTGCAGCTGCCTGAGTGAAGCATGTTAGCTAAATTGCTATAAACACAAATAAAATCAAGTCAAAACCAGAGGGAAGATAATTCCTTTTAATTGTTAACAGCTTGGCTGAGGAAAATGGAAGGTGGGAAAAGGAGGTGTTAGGAGAGGTGTAAAATGAACAAAGAATTAAATACAGAATCCAATTCCTCAGTTCATTTGTCTTCCTAATAATCACAACTGGGATTGTGATTGTTCATGGAGTTGTGTTGGCTAAGTTAAGATCATGGGGGTTCTGGGGGGTTCTGAAAAAAGGATTGGGGGAAAAAATTATGTGGTTCTTATCCATTTACCTATCTTCTCTGTGCTCCCTAGTGGATTCACTAAAATAGCCCATGATTTATGGAAAATAATAGAGTGAGAGAAAGGTAAGAAAGAAAGTGATGACCCAAGCCTGGAATTACTGATGAGATGGAAATAGGAACCTCATAATATGTGTAAATTAGCCAGTGATGTGCTTCCAGCAGCTCACAGCTTCCTGGACCATTTACTACCACCATGGCAAAATTCACTACTCCATCAAACAGCTCTGTGCTCAGCCTGAGCTGAGAAGGGCAACAAGCCCAGCATGGCAGCAACCTCCACAGAGACCCCACTGCAGCAGGGCTCTCACCCCACCTTTAAATTCTCCTGGGCAGAGTAGATTGCACCATCTGCATCAAAAGCAGCCCTCAGTCTTACACTCTTCTCTCCCTGTTTTAGAAGACCAACACTTTAATAAGCAGTGAAAGAAACTGTAAATCAGAGCAGCAGGTGTGAACACTATAGATAACCACAGATGAGATTCCTATGTCCACATACAGTTCAAACTCCTGACTGAAAAGCCTATCAATCTCTCCCAATCCTAGGATGCTGAAATCCTCTTTTTACACAGACAAATCCCAGCCTCCATGGGTCGCTTCAATCCTTGGGATATTTCAAAGGTACAACAATGGGAGTAGGCTACCTCTGTAATGATAAAAGTTCATTAGGACAGAACAAAAGGCATAGCAACAAGGGAAACCAGACAAAAATGGTTAAACAGCAGAATAGCAGTCTTGACTGAGGGAAGCCAAGGGAATTCTTTCTGCTTTGAGTGAGAGAAGCCAAGGTAATCCCTTTCTAGCTGTTTTGAAAGAAGGCAATGCCAGCTCTGTTTCAGAAGACAATGCAAAAACCATGAAATATAGGTGTCATTGCTGGGTGCTTCATTGCATTTGAGACACTGCAGCTCAGATTTTGGGAAGGCTGCCCACACCCAGCCACTAGCAGGCTAGGGCCATCTGTGACTCCCCCAGAGCTCTGTCAGCGCACGTCAGTCCTGACTCACGGTGCTTCCCATTACTCCAGTTTCACGTCTCACACAGTTAAGCCTGTGAGAACAAATCCTGCTGCAGCAGCAGGGTCTTCAAGAAGAGCTCAGAAGACCCAGTATCCTTTATAGCAGGAGGCAGGATCTGAATCCCAACCTTGAGAGAGTAAATCCTGACACACCAATTCTGTGTCTCACCCATTTTCACAATTATTCTCCAAGACATGCTGAGAATGAATAATTTTCTGCTCTTACCATTTTATTTTTAGCACAAATACTACCCTAGCAGCCTCATACAGCACACTGCTACCATAGCAATACATTACAGTTTGGGACAAAAGCTACAGAATCCCAGAGTATTGTCTTACATATTCTATATCTCTGAGAAATCTCATTGTCATGGCATGACCACATCTTGCATAAAGAGGGACTTTATGATGGACAGCAGCAAGAAAGCTATCTCCAATGCCCTTCCAACAGCTTGTACTGCCTCCCTGGCCCACCTGAGAGCTACAACGGTGAGGAACCTGCACACTGAACAGACAGCTCAGCATCTCACACACACCCAACCCACTGCAGGAAACACACCCACTTGCACTATTGAAATGTCCCGCTCACAGGGCTGACAGAGCTGCACAAGATCCCTGGCCAGGGAAGGGAGGCAGCCCCACCGCAGTGCTGAATGCGAGCGCTGCCTCACCACCGCGCACTTTCCCAAACCTGACAGCAGTCCATTAATGCCGGGTCAGAGACATCTGCTCAGCAGCCACGGAGGGGGTCTAGCCCTCGCTTTGAAGTGGCTCTCAACCACTTATCAGCTGTATGTGGAGAGTGAGTGACATTATCTAATTGCCAGCTAATTTCCATAATTACTGACTGGCGCACTCTCTATGCTGGGTTAATATCTTTGCAAATGTCTTGAAACACACCTGCCTAGGAAAGGGGGTGAGAAGCTGTTGTTCTGCACCTTATTTACCCAACTGCACAGAAAGGTTGCAGGAGATGGGTTTTTCACTCCCTGTCCTCCCTCCTCCACTACCTTCCTCTCTGGCTGCTAATTGCTTGGGGATGGACTTACTTGTAATTGAAAGTGTAATTTTCAGCAGAAAAAAGAACAGTTAGATTAATTCAAAGACAGGCTGGCTTCCCTTGCAAACCCCTGCTCCAGCAGCCCAGTGCAAGCCTGTGTAAGTCCTGTTATTCCCCTTCAGGATGCTGGACAAAATCTCACTGACACACTGATGGGAAAAGTTTGCAGTTCACCAGTCTGACACCCTCTGCCACAACCAGAACTATTCACCATGCCATAGTTTGTGCAGAAGGAAAAATATACATTGGTCACCTAAGGTCCATGTATTTAATACCCCATATGAACTCACTTTTGTCCTTTTCTTCACTCTAAAACAAACAAAATCTAAATGTTTTCTTTATTCCCCAAACCCTAATGAAGCAGCAGAGCTTTAGGAAGGAGTAAACAGGATGCTAATTTGGCTCTGCATCCATGTGTCTTCCCTCAATTGGTGCAAAGCACAGCAATCAAATCATTACAGCTCTATGACATATGCTGCTCAAAACAATACAGTAAAATTTACCCTCAATAATTGATATTAAAAGTCCAGCTTGCTAGCAGAGAAAAATGGGGAATTCATAATATTTATTCACTCATCCAGTTCGGAACAATGGGCTTCTTTTGGTTAATGCTTTGAAATCTTTCTGCCTGATCTATGCCCAGCTGAATTGTGGCAAAAGACAAAGGGTCAAAGCATTAAAAAAAATCTTTCCAATAAAAAATGCAGATGTGAAAACTGTGAGTTGCTAGAGTGGAACACAGAAATCCTCCCATCACACAACATCCTCAGCAAGGATGCATGCAGGGATGTTTACAGAGAACTGAGAGGGGACATGGAGGGTTTGAAATTCATGAGACTAGAGAAAACTGCAGGGGCTAATTTAGTTTTTAATTCCTCTAGCAGCATTTGCATCTCAGTAATAAATCTGGACACTGCCTCATACCCTTGCTGGGATGGAGAGGACTTTGGGGCGGTGCCTGGGAAGATGAGCTGAAAGAACTAGGATGAAGATAGAGACAGAGAGCTTCTATCTTCTTTCAATTCTATGATTCTTTTACCAAGGGAGATTTCAGTGGCACTATACAGCTCAGAGGGGTCACAGGTAAAGCAAGATGGGCTTTGCTTAGTGAAGAGGCTGGAAGTGAGGTCAAAAATGGAAGTTTTGCTTTGCAAAGAGCTGAACACACCTAGGTTCTGCTGAACTTGGCAGAGCTTAATGGGATGTAGCATTTACATTACTGGCTGGCTGGTGGTAAGGAGAGAAGCAGTGATATTTCAGGCTTTATCTTGGATATAGAGATATGTGCATATGTGCATCTTAAAATTAGGGACTGAGGGTGACAATGAGCACCTGTTGACCTCTTCTCCA